TGATAGCGTACCGTGCTCCCAGCAGACTGTTCCTGAGTTCCAGTTGGACTGCAAAGGCGTATTCATTAGCTACGGCCTAAATACGCTAAGGTAACTAAACATAAAAACTAACCAAGGGGAATACAAAATAATCGTAGATTGTCCACTCTTTATATTTCTTGATACATCTCTTCTCGTCTCCCTTCGCAAATTCGATAAACTAATAATTATCTATATCGTTTATTTGTTGTTAGATGTAGTTTTACAATTTAATTAATATATAGTAAGTTTGAAATTTGTTTGTTCTTCTTCTTTTCGGCCGTTTACAGGTAGAGACTAGAAGAGAACACACTTTATCTTTGTGCATTTCTCCGGCTTCTAAAGCAAGGCCATAGACTCTAACTCTTTACAGGGCCTAAAACCTGGACGTCCTTCATCCCCTTATTCTAGATGATTCCCTACCCTCTTGTCAATAATACGAGGGAAAAACCACGTCCATTCAGACTAGTTGAGCCAGTAGGCCTTGCCTCCGCTCGCAGAGATTGCCTCCAAAGCATCCTTTGGAGTTTAAATCGAGGATGTTACAGGGGTGACAGCAGTCTTGCCTCCGCTGAGTATTACACTGGCTTTTGAATCATGATCCAGATGAATGTCTGCAGAATGTTTTTACATATCAAAGAGGTGTATTCGAACAATGACTGGAAACATACTCTGCAGTTCGATGTATAATTTTCTTACCCCAGTTTATGATTTCACCAAGAACATTTTGGAAATATTTTTCCATCGTCATTATTTCGTCTACCCATTCCGATGATGCATTTATGAGTATACCAAATGATAAATGTTATCATTATCATGTTATCATAGATGTGTCTTCCTAAATTTGGGAATTGATTTTTATATTTAAATGTTATGAAACCAGCAATATATATATCAACCCATCTGTTACGATTTCTGTTCTTTTTTTTCTTTCTTTCGGATTAGCTATTTATGGCACGTCTGAACTACTGATACTTTTACACAAAATTTTAGTGACAGTATCAATTTCTAGAGTCAATAACCTATTTTGTTCTTCCAAAATGTTCATTCCATAAGGTCGTTTAAATGTAGTTGTAGCAGACGTAAAGGAATTCATTAAATCAAACCAACTATTAATAAGCTCTATAAACTCCCCAAGTTTTTGTGCTGCGATTTTTTTATCTCGGGCTGCATCTTGAAAATAATGTTTTAAGGCTGTTTCAATTGTATGAGATAGTATTTCTGCAGCAAGCTCAACGTTATGTTTTTTACCTCTAAATGATATGAAGTCAGCTTATAGGTATATGGAGCTTATTTCTGTTATTGCAGCTTCAATTAGTTCTTTTAACAAATCTTTTTTCAGTACACTTCCATCTTCAAGTTCAAATCCTGTGTCGATTACCCAGTTTCTTGTTAATTTTAGGAGACGGGGAGTATCAGCAAACATGTAGATATTTGCTTTTGTGACTGGATGTGTAAAATGTGTGGTGTCAACTAAAATATTAAATTTTTTCCAAAGTTCTTGATTGTCTTCCCCGCAATCACACTCATGCAACTACATTATATTTTACATTGTGTAACTCAGTAATTATGGTAGATAAAATATTGTCAGTCATACTTGTATTAAAGCCAATGTAGACTAGTTGCTTCCATTTATTTATTTATCTATTTATGAAAGTCCTCTTGTCATCACTACCTGCCTGTAGATACCTAGGAGGGCCAACCACTTCATTCTCTTTTTGGTCATATTCATACGGGACACAGACTTTCATTCCATCATATAAAAAGATGGTTACTCTTTGTAGTTGTTTTTGTACACCATTTTTGTAAAGTTGATATTCCATGTAATGGGTATATAAGGGCATTTTTGAGATATAGGTAACATCTTTTACTAAAATATCTTATTGTGAAAACTTTGAAATTTCTTCTGTCGTTCAACATGCTCTTTTTTTTCAAACTAATTATTTCGTTTTTACTAAACATGTGACCAAAGTGTTTAAAAATCTTTGGCTCACTATCAATGTCTTTTTCTTTAATTATTTTAATTCTACAATCTTCGTTCTAGTATATCGATCTGACCATCGAGCAATTTTGCTCGATGGCACTGACCCAGCCTGGCAAATGACAGTTTTTTTGAGTAGTTTGGACCTCTGTAACAAGAACTTATATGTTTTGTGAAGTCGATTTTTTAGTTATTAACAAATTAAGGTCAAAAAACGGTAAATGTTTACTGTTTTCGTCTATCAACAAAAAATAAAGCATTTAAAACAAATTTAAGAGTAATAAACATATAAGACATACAAAATCCAATAAAATGCAGTTTTTAAATGTTTTCATCCTTATTTGTTGTTTATAAAGTTGTAAAAGAAGTCAAAAATTTCTCTACTACATTTCTTGAGGATAATAGGGTCCACTCAGGGTTATAAATCCAGAATGATGAATATATAAAATTTGTATAGGTTAGTAGACAAGAGACTGTTAAGAGTAGATCTGGTCCCAGAAGAGTATTATTTTTAAATTTAAAAAAGAAATTACCAATGGTTGGCTGTATACCATAGCTTAAAAAACTTTACTGAAATAAAAACTTCTTTTTGTACAGTGGTATAAAATTTTATCATTCAATTTATTATTAAATTATCCAAAATAAAGTTTTTCATTAACGTTTTCGATCCCATCAGATCACCCTCAGAGAAAAACCTAAAACTATTAATATAACCATTTAAAAATGAATACAAAGGGGGTAAAATTTTGACTGTTAAAATTAAAATGTGGTTATTACTTACGTCTATATTGTTATGCCAGATAACCCTTAAATTACGTAATTTCAGTAAACATTATAGTTGATAAGACACTAGGTTGATGATAAGATTAGATTTTTTAAAGGAACCTATAATTTCCCAGCTCGAAAAAGGGAACCTTGTACCCTGAGATGTAACAAACAACTGTTAACAGAAGTAAAATCCTTTTAATAAGTAGGTATTGTTTTGATTGCAGCTTGTAGTACAGAAGAACAAAAAGAGGTGATTTTATGAACTGCCAAAAGGTTTTAATAATGTAGGTGTTGATGAAAATGAAATTTCTAAAAAATTATTTGCTGATTTGTACACAAATATTTTTCATTTGTTCTTTACATTTCATTCATTTTCACTGTCTTTACTACTGTCGTATATTTGATTTTTTATGATCACCAAATAATTATAACCCACATTAAACTCTTGATAATTTCAGATTTTTTTACAGGTTTTTTATCCATATCTCTAAGGACTATTAAAATTTCCTGCTCATAGCTCATTAACTCCTTCACTACTCATAACTCGGATCCGAGTCCGCTGTGTTTATCTCTGTATGCTCATGACTCACATCCGAGTCGACGTGAGTCCCGAATTAAAACGCGTCAGTATTCTTTTAGCGCTTGAGTAAGAAGGTTGTATTCTGACGAGCGTGTATAAGGTGCTTTTCGTTTCTAAATATCTGCGAATATGGATGAACAACCGGATCCTTTGGGAATTAAAAAACCCAAATTACAAAGTGCAAAATTCGCACAAGACAACTTATTTAAAAGTCTAAATGAATCATTTAGTGATCATGACAGACATTAGCGACGAAAAGTCTTGAGCCTTCTGAAAATGACTATTCTGGTAAGTACCTAAATAAATATTTATGTTGATATAATACCAGACAATAAAGCTTGCTACTGACTGGGAATTATACTATAATATATATTATATCTCATACATTAGGTACATTTCGTATCACTCACTATAGTAATGAGTGAGTGATATGAGATCTAATATATGAGATACAATTATACATTAAAGAATGATTATAGTATAGCTCTCCATCAGTAATAAGCTTTGTGGCATATTATGTAATTTACTATTTTATTTGGGAATAAAGTCACAATTTAGGTTTGAAATTAAATTTATTTGTCGTTTCCACTTCTATTTCGGAAATCGTTATCAAAATACAAAACAAATTTTGTTTTTGTTGCTTGGTAAAAAAATTCTTCTACTTTAATTTTATCTGACTCATACATATTGACATTTCAGTAATATATTATACATTTTAAAGTAGGTAGATGACTTTAAAATGTATATTGCAAAAAGTTATGAGTTACGTTCCTGGGACGACTTTATTGAGAGATGGTTAATTCGATTACATGAAATCGACTTTCAACATAAGAATATCCGTCAAAATTTAATTTCAAACCTAAATTGTGGGTTTATTCCCAAACAAAATAGTAGGTTTATTGTTGTACAGATGATGAATGGACGATATCAATCAAAGTATGGCTGATACAAGAGAAGAAAACACTGCTGAAGTTTGGAAAGATGAGGTTTCGAAAATTTCGAGATTTCCTTTTACCAGAAATAATGGACTTTTAATAGATCCTCCAGAAAACTATAAACCAACGGACTATTTTTAAATGATATTCGATGAGTTTTTGAATATGGTGATAGATGAAAAGAAAGATATAGTCATAGATAGATGAGTTGTATGAATGAAAATAAATACTCCTTTATTTGCCGTGAGGGTTCTGAGCTTGATTCTTTCATTTTAACAACACTCACACAAAAATTTTTGGAAAAACTTGAAAACCAAGTTACAACACAATAGAAAAGCTCAAAAACATAAAAATTTCCTGGACACTTGTTCCAGATCATACTTTTTGGAAATAAATTTAAATTTGGGAATTTTTTATTTTTCCATGTTTTTAATTTAATTTCAGGGTAGAAGAGCCATTACAATATGAGCATCACGAAAAAGTACCAATAAATTTTATCTGGAAGTCTTCATAAACAATTTTGATCCGAGACTTTTCTTCTTTTCACAAAAATATGACAAATTTATTTAAAATACCCTTTATTTAATATATACTTTATTTATTCATCAATATTTCAAGAAAAATACTAGCCAGCACAGCCCTTTATTTCTATGAAAATGGGCTGAGCAGTGAGTGTCTCATTAAATTTCCATAGACATAAGGATAATGTAAAAATGTATATTTTAATAACAAATATTTTATTTAAACACAACAAAAAGTTAAATATTACAAAATCATCTTAACTTCATCATAAAATACTAGAACTAGAGCAGCCCCCATACCACGAAAAACATTTGACAATGCTCCCTTAAAAAATGCAGCTGGACCTTCATTTCTAAAGATTTTCACCCAGCAATCCATTGTGTTTTTATACATGACCTCATGTTTTTTAAGACCTGACTGCATCATCATTCGTCTCCTAACTGTATCAAATGGGTATGACAGAATACCTGACACAGTGGTAACAGTCTAAAAAATATTATATAATTGTTAGTTTATGTTAATTTCAACAATGGTTTTAACATTTTTTTGTTAAAATATCAGTAAATGGGTAGTGGTAAAAATAGAGTCATCAATGTAGGCTCAGTTTTAATAAAGCATCATTTAAAAAATCCATTTATGTACTTTTGTCATTTTCAAATAAGTAGTAAAATCTTCAAGTAAGCATCCTACATAGATTTAAGAAATATGTGGTAAACTCATTGAGAGCTATACAGAAGCATGAAGTATCCTATAAATCAACACAATAGTTTCCACAGATGTATCAGAAGCAGATAATGCAAATAAAAACTACTACATCAGATAATTGTGTCAACAGCTTACGGAAAGTATATAACCTATAGTAATAATGACACTATAAACATTATGAATGACACAGTAGACTGTAAAATTAAAATGTGAAAAGAACTGTTGATACTTTTTTATTACTGTTTTCAGAATAAGACTAGCGGACCAACTCCACATCGAGTTTTTTAAATGCAATTTTTATTTTGCGAGAAAAATTAAGAGATCAATACAAACAATATAAGCAAGAATATACATAACATTCATAAATAATAATGGATATCATTTAGCAGTTAATTTTGCATGCTGATCACGAATCAGGTGTCAGTTGCTCTATCTTGACGTTTTATGCACATTTTGGGTCACTTCTGGTGTCATCCATACTTGACAATCTCATACGTAAGACTAATAATATTCCGAAAAAATATTTTAATTATCTAATATGGTTTTTGAGTAAAGTGGTGGACAAGAAAAGGGCTTATCGTTTTAGTATATAAGATCATTAAAATAGAAAATTTCATGATTAAAACTAAAAAAAAAAACAATTATTAACACTAGACATGGGAACTTATGTATTCTAATACAATATAGTACTATATGATACACTAAAAGTTAAAAGACAGAAAAGATTTTTATGCTTGTAAAATAATTTATAGGTTAACAAGATCACTTACCTGTGCAATAATGAAAGAAACAATAAATCTGGTGTGCTTAGGATCAGGTAACATCCCCTTGGCTGTATCAAAGAAACCAAAATATGCCGCTCTGTAGATGATAATTCCTTGAACCGAAACTATGAAACCTCTGTATAAGCCAATAAGTCCATCTGATTTAAAGGTCTTAACAACACAGTCCACCAATCCTAGATACAGCCTTTCTTTTGGACCTTTTCCTACATCAACCCCCAAACTAAAAAATTCTTATATTAAAATCTAAATAATATTATAAACAAATGTAGGCTCTTTTTTTCTTATATCAGTTAATGGGTAGTGGTAAAAAATGAGTCATCAATGTAGGCTCAGTTTTGATAAAGCATCATGTAAAAATCATTTTAATATACTTTTGCAGGTCTTAACTTACAGGTATTATACCAAACTTACCGAGTTCTTGCATAATCCAGTGGATAGACAAAGCACAATGAAGTGGCTCCTGCTGCTCCTCCAGATGCTAAATTCCCAGCAAAATACCTCCAAAATCGTAAATTTTTGTCAACCCCTTCCATAAAAATTGACTTATAAACATCTTTAAATGCAAAATTCAAAGCCTGTGTGGGAAAATACCTAATAACATTGGCTAAATTCCCTCTCCAATAGCTCAGAAATCCTTGTTCTTTTGGTATTCTTATGAAGCAGTCCAACATGCCTAAAATACATAATGGCTTAAAAAACTGATTTTGCATTAGATTTTTTAGTAAGGATCAGAGTAAAATCAGTAAATGGGTAGTGGTAAATCTGGAGTCATCAAAATAGGCTCAGTTACTTCGAAAGCATCATGTAATAAATCTATTAAATGTAAAATATTAATGAAAACAGATCGTTATTAGAACCCCTGTATTAATGATTTCTAAATTGTCCTGGAGATATACCTTTATCTCCTACACTTAAATTTCAAAGTCTTTATTTTGCAATAATTCTATATAGGTTTTCCCAAATATACACCTACCTTATAGGCCCAGTATGTTGTCCTTGTCCCATAGCTCATGTGAATGAACCTGACCCTGGTCAAAACAAAAAAAAATCTTAATAACAAAAAATAGGTACAAAATATTTGTAAATTATTACTAAGCTAAATTTTAATATGCATTATTAAATACATTGTTATGATCTATTTGTCATTTTTAACATATTTAAACTCTTGTTGATTGAAACTTTTACTTTGTAGCAGTTCAAGTAAGAAATATACAGATTGAAGATGATATAAAAGCCTATAGATGAGAAGGGTAATGTAAGAGAAACATTACAAGGAAACTAGCCTTTAAAGATTTCTATAACTACTAAACTTTATTTCACATTAAGAACAGAATGTTTGGCTTATGTAGATCAGTGTTGCTGAAACTCTCATGAACATATGACCGCTGATATATGACTCATTCTTATCAGTCATGTTCAGCACTGTGTAGATGTAGTTAAATTTACTAATAAACAAATACTTACAGTTGAATACAGAAATAATAAATACTTGTTTCTTTAATAGACAGATTATGTAATTATTATAGTTCTGATAAAAATAGTTAAATTTTACTATTGTTTACTATTGTTGTTCTCTAATCTGCGTGATCAATGTAAAGTTGAATATACACTTTGTCAGAAATAACATTTTTCGTCTCTTGAAAAAAATTTTAGTAAAACCCCAGAGAATTTTGGGGATACATTGGCAGACTTGGGCAGAAGGGCACAAGGCAATATTGAAATTGCTAACCTTTTTGATCTCTAGTGTATATGAGAAAGAAAAAGGTGCTCCCATTCCAGATTTTGAAAACTGTATCAGACACATTGACCCGTAAACCTAATTCAAGTTGACACTATATCAGTGTTTGATGAATTAAATAAACTTCCAAACAAATCTCCTCGGGCCTGATGGAATCCCAATGGTAGTTTTAAAGCACTGTCCATGCTCTCTTACTATGCCCCTAAAATATCTTTATACTTTATCTCTTATGACTGGTGAGTTCGCTTCTTTCTGGAAGAACAGTTATATTGTACCCATATTTGGGTAAAAGGGAAGTTATTGAAAAATGCTGAGGAATTTGTATACAGTCAGAAATCCCAAAACTTCTCTACAAGCTAGTGACTTTCAAAGAGGGAGGAGCACAGTGTCAAACTTGTTGGTCTACCAAGATGATATGTTGGGTGCCTTTGAGAGGAAGTACCAGGTGGACAGCATCTATACTGACTTCTCAAAGGCATTCGATAAAGTAAATCATCTTTATTTATTCAGTAAATTAGGAGCTATTGGTATAGCTGGCAAATTGCTTCATTGGTATGAAAAGTTTTCTTGTGGGTAACACCCAGAGCATTAAGATAAATGGTGTGTTGTCTCAATCTGGTGAAGTCTTCTCTGGAGTACCACAGGGGTCACATTGTGGTCCTCTACTTTTCATCCTCTGTTAACGATGTTGAGAAAGTCATTAAGTATTCAAAATTTCTCAACTTTGCTGATGATAAAAAAATTTATAGTCATTGCTTGTCAGTATGATCAAATTCAGCTACAAGATCTCAGATTTAGCAATTGGTGCAAACTAAATGAATTAAAATTGAACATTGATAAGTGTTATTACTTTTCACAGGAAGCAAACAACTTTAAATTATGATTATACCATTTATAACACTCAGCTGTCTAGGCAGGACTGTGTTAAGGATTTGGGTGTTTATTTTGATTGTAAATTAGCATTTCGTAAGCATCTAGAGGTCACACTAAAGAGTGCATTCAAACAATTCAGATCCAGACTAGAATATGCAATAGTTGTATGGGGACCTTACTATCAAACATCTATAGACAAGCTTGCTTGTGTTCAGCATAAATTTGGTAAACACTATCATTACCATAGTGCTTTTCATGAGCTCTCTGTCCCATACAGTTATAGTATGATAGCTGATCACTTGAAAATGGTTTCTATGAATCAGCGAAAAGATTATGTTTGCCTAATATTCCTTTACAAAATTGCTAATAATTTGATAAATTGCCCTGAACTTTTAAATCAATTAGGTCTTAACACTCTTCATGGAACTAGGCATACTTCATTCTTTTATCTAACATTTCATCAATTTAATTATGAATACTTTAAGCCTCTTACTCATATGGTGAGACTATATAATAGGTACCAAAGTGATCTGGACTTATTTTCCCCTTCTTTTCAACAATTTAAAAATGTGATAAAGAGACTGTGATTTGTGTGATATTAGTTTGTATTCATTATTAATTTTTGTTAAACTTAACTAATAATTTTCCAATCTTATGCTTACTAAAAAATGTTATGCATTATATTTTGTTCCAATTTAAATGGTATATTTGTTAATTCGGGTAATATCCGGTTATAAATAAAATAAAATGTTCTTTAACACACTATTACCTAATTTTCACTTTTTGCAGACTATTGCTTACATACTTTTGGATTTGGCACTTTGTGTCTGCCTTTTTCACACTACCACAATTTACTCACTGCATATTATCATCCTCATCTCTAGCATCCTATCACTATCAACCATCACATATATATTATCACGGGATCAATAATCCATCAAGCAGTCAATAACTCAAAATGTTTGCTCTTCCTTAATAGCAAGTTTACAATAGTTTTTCCAGTTGTTCACTGTTACTACACCAAATGCATTTCTTATTAATTGTTTCATTATAGCAGTCTTAAACTGTATTGTGGGGCAATATCTTTTGGCTTAACTCCATATCTTTTCAATTGGATTCAACTCACAATGGTATAGAAGTAACCTCAGAATGGCAACATGTTTCTCTTTGCACATCTCGTCAATTTTATGTATTCTTCTTTGAATGTGTTTATGACTTTCATAAGCTCTGATGTTAAATAATCTGCAAAAAGATATATTTCTTCAGCAATCATGTAGTAATTTGATCTTTATTAAATGCTTTTGTCAGAATCATCCTCTCCTTGACTAGTACTAGGCATTGTCTATCGCCACAAGTTTTTACTGTTAAGGTTAGGAATAAGGAAGCATTATAGGTTATAGGCTATGCAGTCTACCTAGACAGACTAGAAGATCCCAAAGAATAAATTTTCTAATTTGTTCATAAAATAAAATCGTTTAGAAAGTCCACTAGCGAGAACATAAATAATACTTCAATGGTGGTAATATCAGAATTCGTTAAAAATAGAACAAAAAATGGTCTCAAACACGTGGTACCTGGTCTTAAATGTGATATTGATAGACAGACTAGAAGACCCCAAAGAATAAATTTTCTAATTTGTTCATAAAACAAAATCGTTTAGAAAGTTTCCTAGCGAGAACATAAGTAATACCAGAGAACTACGAATACAGTAATACTTCAATGGTAGTAATATTAGAATTCGTTAAAAATACACAAAAAATGGTCTCAAACACGTGGTACCTGGTCTTAAATGTGATATTGATTATATAAATCCTAAGACACAGATTGTCAGATATATTTATGTTGAATAAGGATTACCGATCTCATTTATACAATCTTCATTAAAATAAAATCTTATAAAAGAATATGTACGTACCTTTGTATGCTGTTTCTTCAGATATTTGTTTGCTGGCTGCCTGAACTTGTAGAAGCAACTTGACTCGTTCTATAGGTGCCACTGCAGTCTTAGCTATTGCAGCAGAAACACCTCCAGCAAAGAAATCTTTCAAAAACAATTTAATATCATTATGCATTTTATAATAACGTCGTTGACACGCACGGTTGTAAGCTTGGAAAAAGGAGTTTTTCAAAGAAAATTCTGGTTTTATTGAGGCGAAACGGAAATATCAACGAAACATGCGCATTAGACAAGCTGTCGTAAAACGTTGCGAACTTCATACTCTAGAGCATATCCGCTCTAGATGGCCTCGTTTCTGAAAAAAACAGCCCATTTGAATCAATAAACAATCGGAATAATATTAGTATGATAAATTTATTATTTAAAATATCATTTCAAACAAATTCAAAATTCCAATTATTATACTAATTATATTACAACTACAGCTTTATTAAATTAAATATATTTATATTTTTTTATTGAAATGTCTTGACAGCTGATAAGTGGCTGATAACGTTAAGTGACGTTAACATCGCAAATCAATCACAAATCATACTGACATTTAAATAACAAATATTTGTATATTTGACATATGATTTTACAGAATTTAACTTTTATTATATTATGTATTGTTAAGATTTAAACACAACTTTAAAAATGAAGTATTACTTGCTAGTATTCTGCATAGCAACTACATTAACATTATCTACGGTAATTTGTATAGCTACGTTCTCATAATTGGTTGATTAAATTTATTTTTTCAGGCACAATCCTATGAAGACAAGAGGTGTAAGTGTATATGTCCAAGTATATCATCAGTAACGAATAAGACAGAATCTAAGAACCACACATCTAGGATTTTATATATTACCAATGTACCACCAAATAAATGGTAAGGATTCCTTACAAAATGTGTACATATGTCCCTATTAAACTGCTTATTTTGTAGCAATTGTGATGAAGTTATACTACCGAGGATTAGTCAAGACATTATAGGAAAAGAACAAGAATTCTGTCCAAGATGTGAATGCAAATATGAAAATAGAAACACCACTATAATTAAAGTAGTGGTGATTATAGTAATTTGGGTTATTTCGATTTTGGTCATTTATATGGCGTTTTTGATCATATTGGACCCACTGTTAAATAAGAGGATTAAAGGAAACTACCAAGAGCATACAAATGAAGAAGTAAGTCAGATATTTATAGTGTTTTTTTTATATTGTTTAAGTAAATTTCACACATTGAATATTTTTGTTGTAATGTGTACAGAGTACTGGGCAAATTTGGATGTAAAAAGAAATTACAAATTGAACTTTTGATCATTTAATTCAAATTTTTCTAGTTTTCTTGGTGCAAATATTTTTTGTAATAGGCTGTACAGATGGATTGATTTTATTGAGAATAATATTTAAGTAACATAAAATACATTGTCATAATCAAAATACCACCAAAGAATATACATGTATATGTATCTATATTCTTTGATATTACTGTTATATTGCTTTCAGATATCATTAAATAAATTATGCACCTTTGTATTTAGTTTGTTTTGGGTCAAATGTGGATTATATATTTTTTCATATATATCTTTTAACAATATTTTGGTATGAAATCAGTATATTTCTGAAATTTTTATAATAAAACAGATACACTTACAGTTTTGCTATGGTTAATTAATTTATTTTTTTTTATTTTATGGCATCTGCAATGTACTGTAGGTGTTTTATTTATTTTTTGTTTATTGTTTTACAGGAAGTCCCATTTTTACAAAATGAAAATAATTGCTCAGATTACCCATCTGCACCACTTTTACAAAGTAAGATATTTTGGTGAATCATGTCTTAATAATATACTGCAATATCTTTCAGACAATTAATTTTAATAAATAAACAGCTTAAAATAAATAAGGAAGGTAAAAAGTTAATTTTTTATACAGTAAAGACATTAAATGTGCTTTTTGTGGCAATTTTTACTACACAAAAGGTTGAACTATTAAATTAGTGTAATAACTGCATTGTAGCTGGATATTTCATTGTTAGATACATTTCCATTTCTTTTCTATTACTTAATACAAATACAATGTTTTTTATTCCATAATAAAGAACACTGCAATAACAATAAAAGGCTTGAGTCACAGCCATACAAATATATATATATATATATATATATATATATATATATATATATATATATATATATATATATATATGAAATAATTCACATTGAAATATTAATGGTGTTTAAAAATTATGAGAAAATCAGTCTCTATAAGTTACACTTAAAGGGTGTGGCAGATAAATTCTTTAGGGGATCAAGAATTTTGTTGAATATTCAAATTACTTTAAACAATAAACTTCTTTGGCATAGATTAAATATAGTTGGACGGTGTTTTGCAACAATCATCTAACCCACATTTGTTTACAAATGAGGTTAGACGTGCCAAACTGTTGATCATAATGCATACTACATCAAGCAAAAATGATATAAGCCATATCCATAATCATGGAGGCGTTTGTGAACTAGGTTCTAAACCACATTCGTCAAATAATATGAAAACAGAAATTTGTAAAAATAGTCTAACCCATGTTTTTATTATAAATATGTGGGTTAGACGCTTGTTGCAAATCTTTGTAAGGGTCTTTTCATTGCGTGCACCAGATGCAAAATATTAAATTGAACCAATCTTTATTTTGACTTATTAAAAGACGAGAAATTTATTATTACACTATTACAATTTTATTTAAATAAATAAAATTGCACCAAACTAGAGGCTTTATCTTTAATGGTAAAATACGAAAGTATATTATATAAAACTGTGAATTTTCTGTGTTGTGAGCTCGGCAATGGATTAAAGAAATTTTTAAATTCCTTGATAGTGTACCGAAAAGGTAACATAATATGTTTTGCGATTACTGAAATGTTGGTGCCATGAATGCCTACAAAAATTGCATTATCAAATAACGAAACCAGTTGTTTATTATATAAAATATTGGAACTGCTGCTTGATAGTCAAAATTCTGGTCAGCAAAATATTGTAGGAATATGATAAGAATATTATAGGTATGATTTGGAAGGAATTTGGTTAAATCCTGATTTCGAGATTGATCAAGATTAAATCGAGTAGGAATTTAATAAATAACAATTACTTACTATTACTAATGAACTTGAATTCAAAGTTTTTTTTGTGTATTTACCATGTCGGAGGGATAGACGGTTATTGCAAAATGACCATTTATATTTTTACAATTTTGCAAAAACAGTCTAACCCGCTTTAAGTTATTTTTGCAATAAACTGGTTTTACTTATTTTGCTCTTGTACGATTTTTTAGGTACCCTATAATCATTAAAATATAAAAATGTGAAAGTAAAGCCTTATTTTCTATCAGTGAATTTCTTAAAGTAGGTAAACACAATATGCTCATTTACTCTGAACCATATATATGTGGCTTAGATTATTATTGCAGAACACCATCCAGTTGTATGTGGTCATTTAAAGGAGGATTGGAAATACCACCAACATCAGAAATATAATAGACCTTTCTCTATATTTTCCATAATAAATGAGATCAGTGATATCAACTGCAATACTAATGGGTACCATATCTGAAACTATATTGACCTTTAAATGAAAACTGGTTATCTGATAAAAAGTACTTCATCAGGTATTTATACAGGTTCCAATAAGTTTAGAGATGGTAGACATCTTCTTGTAATGATTACCTGCTATTTAAATTTGATCTTGATCATATTACTTCTTACTGATACTGTGTTGGAGAAGAAATTCACTTGCAGGAAATTGTTTATGACATTCATATTAAAAATCTCTCAAGTTTTAGTAGCTCAAAGATATGAACATTTGAATCAAGGAGCACTATTTCTTTTAAACTTGTACTTTAAGGTGTTGTGTGACAAAAATTATAAAAAGATATCACAATTGCATTACACAAGACATCTGCAGAAGAGCATTATTTTATGGTCAGGTGTCAAAGAAGTTTTCCTAACTTGAAAATGTTGAACTATAGGTTCCCCAACTGTATCATGTACAGTATTTAATTTGCATTCCACACAATTATTTCTGAAAGTATAGTCAATTAGAGTGCTTAAAGTAACCATTTTAGGTATGCTTTTGTGGGCACTGTATGTTAATAAATTTGTAATTATGAATAAAATCATACAAAGCTTTTCCAAATTATGAGTTTTTCTGTATTTAAATGGTTTGTCATAGATGGTTGTTTTTTAAAATCCTAATTACTTATCTGTAGTTTATATAAGAAAGATAATTTTCAAATAACTAAATAAAGTAAAGTATTTTGCATAAAAATAATTGATTTAATATCAAAATTGAAAAAAAAAATACTTACAAATTTTAAAAATCAACAAACTTAAGTACTATTTGATCTCAAGAACTAAGGTTTATTAATAAAATTCTTTATTTTTTGAGGATTATCAATTTAATATCAAAATAAAGAAAGAAAATTTAAAAAATAAAACAATGTGACTTAAAAAACTACACTATGCAACATGTTGAAACAGTAAAAATTACATTAGGGAATGAAATAGGTACATACACAAAACTATAGTTTTGGGAAAACATTTTTGAAAAAAGTGAAAAAAGGAAATAAGTTTAGATAGGCGTATATTTTAATTAAGCAGCTTTATAACAATTACAAAAGACTATTCTATGATGTGGAATTTACCAAAATAAAAAACAAATTGGTTTAAAATGATACAAAATACTGTTTTGTTATGCTAAAGTGTAGACTGCTTGCTTTAGTGTAGCTTTATGTAGATTGGATACTATTAGTAATATGATATATAAGATCGCAAATATTAAGAGACTCAGAAGCTACGAAAAATTACTGTTATAAGCTTGAGCGAGAATTTCACTTTTTCTAAATTTTGTATTAACCTGTCGCCATGATTGTTCATGTGTCTATAGGCGTCAATGTGTCCACTGATTTAGCGGAGTATCTCTGATGATTGCAGAGTGCGGCATTAGTGCGAAGATATCCATTTACTCATTTTTCGTAAGAGATATGAAAAAAAAAATAATTTATACAAAATTAGCAAGGATGGGACCATACTTTAAAAATATTTTCAAATATACAGGGCCATCCATATTGACAGGGTGGAACAAACTTATTTTTTTTTGGTTTGGAATAAAACAAAATACCTAATATGCTCATGAAAAAGTACAGTTAATATGACACAAGGTTAAATATTGGGGAATATGAGTTTGAAAAGGTAGAACACTTTGAATATCTTGGGGTCTCCGTTACTGGAACTAATGAAAGAAGCATAGTAATTAATGAAAGAATTCTGACAGAAAACAGAACCTTCTGGAAATGCAACAACTTCCTCAAAGATAAGAAGCCTACTCAGAATACTAAACTGAAAGTTTACAGACCAGTAATCACATATGGTGCTGAAGTAATGTGCCTGACACAAAAAATGAAGAAATATTGAAGATCTGAGAAAGAAAAATAATTCATAGAATAGCAGGCCCACTAAACTTAGGTAATAATGAATTTAAAAAACTAATGAACCAAGGAGTAAGAGAACTTTTCAAATGAGAATGCATCATCAGATTTATCAAGGTACATAAACTTAGATGGATGGAACATCTAGTAAGCAAAAATCAGAAGGAGTTATCAAGAAAATCAAGAAATGGGGACCAGTATCAGGCAGACCATGAGGAAGACAGAAGACAAGATAGGAGAACCAGATAATTGCGGACTTTAATAAGATGGGAATTAGACATTGGAAAACAGTAAACAAAACAGGAAAGAAGGGAGAAATATTGTAGAAGAGGACAAGTCACACAACCAATTGTAAAACCAAAATGTTAATGTGCACTGATTCCCTGCTACAAATAAATCGGAATAGCCCAAAGAGGGTGGCAAATTTATTAACATAGCAAAACTTTTAATTTTGAAATACAGGGTGGATCTAAACTTAGAATAAGTATTTTCTGAGTTTTCTCAAATGGATCACCCTATGCTTACTTCAGTATTTTAATGAAATGTTATTTTATGATACTTCGTCATTTATTTTCCCTATATCTTTCGCTTAAAATTGCTTAAATTTGTGAGTTATTCGTGATTTTTTGTAGTCAAACATTAATTGCAACAAAAATTAGGTGAAATTTTATTAGGTTGGCTGTGAAAAAATACATAATAATCTAGAC